ACGTTTAGTTGTGGTAGTAATTAGTAAGTAGTGTGTCATCCAACACACTTACTGATCACTAATACAACTAAACATAACACTATATATGTACGAATATTCAAGATGGCGACGAATTGGTCCAAGTCATTCCATTTGGCAAACCTGGCCACATACGGAACATTTTTCGTGACCATTTCCAATCTAGGTAGATAACTCTCCTTACTCTTCCTTCATGCTTAGAACATATATAAATGGAAGGGGAATGCCTTTGTTTCCCGATAGAAAAACATGTCGGAAGGAAGTAAGAAAGAAAATCATAGTTGCCTCTCTCTTGTGAGTAACTCTGCTCAAAAGTGCGCATGCACGGCCATGTGTGTGTACACAAAAGTATGTATACTACAGACACGATGCTTGTATGTGTAGTTACTCCCAAGAGAGAGGCAACTACATTTTCTTTCTCACTTCCTTCCGACACTTTTCAGCCTGCTATTCCCCTTCCATTTATATATGTTCTAAGTGTGCGATGTACACATACTCATACATATACCATACACGCAATGGCTTCGGTATATATACTGCGTTCACGGAGAGAACGACCTCGTTCCGCGCCGCTTTGGGCGGAGTGGGGATTAGGTGAGAGCATAGACATAGTATATCTAGACCGAGCGTTTGCCTTTATTTAAGGAGTGGGGGTAAAGATGCACGTAGAAAAGGACATACTCTGTTTCGTGCCCCTTGCGTTCTCTCTCGCTCGCACGTAGCATAGCGTATTCTTTCGCTATGCTACATGCAAGTGAGAGAGAACGCAAGGGCACGGAACAGAGTATATGTTCTTTTCTACGTGCACCTTAGCCCCCACTCCTCAACACTCGGTCTAGATATACTATGTCTATGATGCGCACTACACACGCACCGCCGCCATTTTGTTGTAAGGTGTCATGGCCGAATCCGGAAATCTGGCCGGCCACAGCTCTTTTGACGAAGTTAGCGATCTAGTAGTAGTATAGATAACTGTGATATTAACACTGTAATTGGTCTTATTTTTGACGTCGAAAAAACGTTAGAAAATGAGATGTTTATTAAACGTCTAAAAGAGGCCATCATGACGTCTATCTAGATGCGAAAGTCGATCTATCTTAGATGTGTCGAATAGACGTCGACTATACATCTATTCGACTTCACGTTTCTCTCTGGGTAACGACTGTGATAAAAAATTTGAGTTTTCTATTTGTATACAATAAAGAATTAAGTAATTTACTAAATATTCCTGTGTTCGTTATTGAGAAGCCCACACGTGCTCCTTGCGTTCTATCTCACTCGCATGTAGCATAGTGAAAGAGTACGCTATGCTACATGCGAGCGAGAGAGAACGCAAGGAGCACGAAACAGAGTATGTCCTTTTCTACGTGCATCTTTACCCCCACTCCTTAAATAAAGGCAAAATTATGATAATACACAACTTCATAGATTAATAAAAATTATTCTTCTTTAAGTGTACAAATGCATAAAATATTTACCTATCACAATGTTGACTAAGTAATAATGATGGAATAGTACCAGGTAATAAGAACCTCCGTACAGTGTCACCAATTACTTTATAATGAAAATCACTTTCTTTAAAATGCTTACTACAAACAAAACTCCTCTTAGTTATTTCTCGACCTATAGCACTACACCATTTCTGTCTTCCTGTTTCGTTTTTTGGGATGCTGAAAAACATACGAAAATTTAATTTACAAAATTGAATAACTGTTACATATGTGTATGTATTATATATTGTTATAAGTACAAATGTATAATTGTAAACGTTCGTTTAAATAATAAAAAGATACAATGTGTAAATGTGATATCAATATAGCTTCTTTGTTAAACTTTTTTAAACAATACTTTCAACATAGTGCAATAAAATATATTGTTTGAATACAAATAATTTTTCTAATTTACTGTAAATATTCTATTTTATTAAATGACTCTATTATTATCTTAATTAAGTATTAAAATGAGTTTATCATTAATTTTATATTTCGTAACCTCAATTCAGATTACTATACGCATGCTAATATTTATATTATTTACGTACCTATGAAAAGATATATTTGCGACTACTCCTTGAGTTAATTTGCAAATGCAGCAACTCGACACCATAATGAATTTGCTATATACTCATCAATATACTCGTAAAATAAATGTACGATCTTAGAACATATATAAATGGAAGGGGAATGCCTTTGTTTCCCGATAGAAAAACATGTCGGAAGGAAGTAAGAAAGAAAATCATAGTTGCCTCTCTCTTGTGAACAATTTTATCTGCGAGACTATCTTATTTCATTATCTTCTCTGTTTTTTATCTGTTATATTAGTTTACATTCTGATATCTTTCCATTAATGTCTATTAAGTCAATATCTATTCAAATAAGTCATAGCACATCACTTATCTCTAACCAGCTGCTTTTACCAGCTCTAACCAGAGTATCTTTTATTATCTAAGATCTTTTTTATCATGCAGAAATAAATGTGATATGCATTGTTTATTATTTCTTTCTGAAATATATTTTAGAGAAAAAGATATTGATGAAGTACTGCAAACATATACCATACACGCAATGGCTTCGGTATATATACTGCGTTCACGGAGAGAACGACCTCGTTCCGCGCCGCTTTGGGCGGAGTGGGGATTAGGTGAGAGCATAGACATAGTATATAGATCTGACCGAACCGGACGAAAAGCAAGGTCGTTCTCTCCGTGAACGCAGTATAGAAAAAGACATACTCTGTTTCGTGCCCCTTGCGTTCTCTTTCGCTCGCACGTAGCATGACGAAAGAGAGCGCTATGCTCTGTGCGAGCGAGAGAGAACGCAAGGGGCACGAAACAGAGTATGTCCTTTTCTACGTGCATCTTTACCCCCACTCCTCAACACTCGGTCTAGATCATAGACATAGTATATCTAGACCAAGCGTTTGCCTTTATTTAAGGAGTAGGG